ACCTGGACACAACCCTCCAGGTGTGGCCTCACCAGTGCCGAGCCCAGGGCTCTGTCACCTCCCTGTCCCTGCTGGCCACACCAGTGCTGACACAAGCCAGGAGGCCGTTGGCTTTCTTGGCCACCTGGGCACCTGCTGGCTCCTGCTCAGCGGCTTGTCAGTGAGAACCCCCAGACCCTTCTCCCCCAGACAGCTCCAGCCCCTCCCCGAGCCTGTCGCCACGCAGGGGGTTGTGGCCCAAGGGCAGGACCTGGCACTTGCCCTTGTTGAAGCCCATCCCGCTGACGTTGGCCACCGATCCAACCTCTCCAAGTCTCTCTGTGGAGCCTCCCTGTCCTCGCGCAGATCGACGCTCCCGCTGCACTCGGTGTCGCCTGCGAGCTCACGGTGACACCCTCCGTGTCCTCATCGAGGGCGTCAGTAACGATGTTCGACACTTGTGGTGTTGGGGTCACCTGAAAACAACGTCAGACCTGTAGAAGCAGCGGCTACTCAGGGGGCTGAGGGATGTGGCCAAGGCAAACCGAGAACGTGGGAGAGGTGGGAACGGCCTGCAGGGAGACGCAGAAATTTCTGAGAGGAGCAACTTTGGTCTGAGTTTGCTGTCGCTGAGCTGCGAGGGCCGGGAGGGTTGAGAGCTGAGAGCCCTCAAGGACCCAGCAGTCTGTGACTGCCCAGCTCCGCCTCGGGCACAGCCTGGGTGTTGGTTCCTGGCCTGTGCCCGCCCAGTTTGGCAGTGCCGGGGGAATGTCCCGACCCGCCAGCGCCGGGCTGGGGCGCAGGAGAGGGGCTTGGTGTGACCCAGCTGTGGCGGCGCTGGGCGAGCCACATCCTTTCGCTGCTCCTCCCGCACAACGCGCTGACGCTTCCCTCCCGCCGCAGGCTCGGACGGAGCAGCGTCCAGTTACCAAGTCAAACAGCTGGAAGAGCAGAACGCGAGACTCAAGGAAGCTCTTGTAAGGTAGAGACCCCCTGTGCTCCCCCGGGGCTGGGATGCTGCCGGAAAAGCTCCTTCCTGCGAGAGCTGACGCTCCTCCCGAGCGTGACCCCGGCTGGGCTGGGCCCGGAGCTCCGCTGCTCCTTCAGCACGCACAAGGGGGGAGAATCTCCTGCCATGTGTGGGTTGGGGGAAAACGAGGTGCTGCAGAGGTGGGTCCCTCTGGGTGCCACGCCACTGTGGTGCAAAGTCTCCCCTCTGGTGCAGGGGGCAGCCTGGCCCGTGGGTCAGGAAGAGGTGGAGGGGTGGGGGCGTCCCCCTCCTGATGGCAGAGGCAGGGCAGCGCCTTGCCGGGGCTCCCAGAGCAGTGTGTTGGGGCGGGAGGTGTAAGGGAGCTCTGGGGGAGAGGAGCTGCCAGCGGGTCCCCCGGGCCTCAGAACACACAGGGGCAAAGCTCTGGCCTGGGGGCATGGCAAGGTGCCTTTCCCTCTCTGTGCTTTGTCTTTTTTCTGCTGCTGACCCTCTCTTCTACGCTGGGAAAACCTGTGAACGTGACTTATTTTCCATTGCTCGCTGGGTTCTTGCTTTCTGTGCTTCAGCCTGTCCCATTTACAGCTCTTCTGTCTGTTTTCCTACATTCTCTTCTGCTCTCCCCATCCCATCCCTCTCGTTTCCTTCAAAGGAAGGTGCTGTCTCGGGCCCCGATTCCCCCCACCCTTGCAGTTAAGGAGCTGTTCCTGGGGACGCTGCCCGTGTGCCCCCCAGAGGGGCAGGGTGGGCGCCCAGCGCGGGCAGGGGGGCTTGGCGCTGCTGGTGCCCACCACGAGCAGCCCCTGGGGAGGGGCTGGCTGCCCCGCGCGGTGCCCGGGTCTCTGCGGGCCAGTGACGGGCACGTTGCTCTGTCCCAGGATGCGGGACTTGTCCGCCTCGGAGAAGCAGGAACACGTGAAGCTTCAGAAGCAAATGGAGAAGAAAAACACGGAGCTGGAGTCGCTGCGTCAGCAGAGGGAGAAGCTTCAGGAGGAGGTGAAGCAGGCAGAGAAAACGGTTGATGAACTGAAGGAGCAGGTGAGTCCGTTGGGGGCTGTTTGGGGCTGTTTGTGGCTGTTTAGGGCATTGAGCAGCTGCTGTCGGGGCCAGCTTGGGCCACCTGGCAGTGCTGATGCAGGGACGAGTAATTCTGGGTCCCCAGCGCTCCTGGTTCGTTTTTTCTCTGGGGGTGCTGCTCTTTGCTGCTGGGAGGGGCCCTGTGCTCCATCTAGCAAACGGGTGGGATCACCACCTGCATCCCCCCGCCTGGCAGAGCCGTCCCACGGTGGCGTAAAGGCCCCGTGAGCCGCTGGCTGCGGCGCCTCGAGCGCCAGGCCGGACCC